CTTCATTCGTGCTTATCAACACGATGGCTTATGCGCACCCCACACAAAGTGGCTGAACTTGTGGATAACGTCTGCGTACACCTTCACGTCGGCCTTCGAGAAGTCCAGAGCCGCCGGGCTTTCTGCTGTCATGCCGGCATGCAAGCTACCCAAAGATGTCAGCCCGACTCCCCCCGCAGCACGTACAATACACACCTCATAGCCTCGATGTCGAGGTTTCCTCCCTCCGTCTTCACGCGTCCGGCCAGCAACGAGATCTCGTACCCCGTATGTGCAGCCAGCCCCGCTAGCAAAGGCTCTACGAGTGCAGAAAATAGTGCCCAAGCGCTGCACAACACCCATTAACTTGTTGTTCCAGCGATGCCATAGCAAACACCTACACTGCCAAATCCGCCTCATCTAGACCCGGAGGACCCTCCAGCGCATCTTTGTGCTTCTCCATCAGCGCTGCCTGCGCCGTGTCATTCTCCTCCTTCATCCTCTCCTGCACCTCCACCGACTCTTTCGCGAAGAACTCTCGCGCCACTATCCCGCGAAGGTTGAGCAACTGGCCCTTGTGGACGTCCGGCTTTCTTTTCTTGTATTCCACTTCTATCATCTCCTTGAACTCCTCCTGTTGCATATAGTGCTGCCAGTCGCCAGGCCTCTTGGGTGGCAAAGTGGTCGGAGTACGGAATCGCGTCAGCCAGCCGGACCACGGGTTTCCTCTTAGAGTTTCCTTCTTTCCTTGCCGCCCCATCCAGTGTCCAATTTTCTGGTCAACATTTCACATCAATATTCCACTTGAAGTCATGAGCAAGCACGACACACCGTCTCCGTCGTCGATATTATCGTTTCCTTTTGTTCCTTTTCTGCCTCATTCTCTGGCGCCTTGCTGTAGTCTGTGAGGTCGGTGCTATCTGGGTCTTGCTTCAATGGCAGACACCACGGGAATTGAGTCCAGTATTGGGAAAACAACGGTGTCCATATAGCACGTGTTTTGCCCCGTCTTGACGCGTCAATATACGTCGGCAGGTGCTCCCGCAGGAAATTTTCCCCGACAAAATGTCCCGCTGGGCCCTTTTTCTTCCTGGTCGCGGTGGTCATGGAAATAGTATCGAGGGATGGATGGCGTATCGACAAATAAAAACATTAACATACAGTAATGCCTTTACCAGTGCTCACCGCCGACAATATCATTGCTCTGCGTATCTCCTCCAGTTGTGCTCAGGCCTGGGTCACTGAGGCGCAACAACATCGAGCCATTCTCCTCTTGACCGGTCACCGGCGGCGCGTCTTGGTTCGAAGGATCCACATGGGGCACATCCCGTTCTAAAGAGGCCGCCCGCCATGGTATGTTATATTATCTTGTCACATCAGCCGCACTTCTGCGCTGGCGGTTGGACATTGCTATCAAGGAGCAAGCTGTGCAGCGCCAGGCGTTCGAGGCATTCTCGCTGCAGCAGGCGGACCGTGTCCCGGTATGGAAGGCGATGGTGGAGCTGTATGAGCGGAAGCCAGACGAGAAGAACCCCTATAAGATGAAGATCTCAGGTACATTGATTTTCTTTACTGGGGAGATGGACTGACAGGGACATTTAGAGCTGACCGAGATGGAGGTGCGCTTCAATTCGCGAACGAGGAGGCGGAGGAGGCGAAGAAGGGAGTGCCAGCCCTGCACGAGGTTACCTCTAGCAGCTTCATCAATGCGGGGCTGGACTTAGAGGATCAGCAGTGCGTACTCTGTGTTCTTGGGCACAATGCGCACATTTAATACCTTTGTAGGCGGCGCGTGCGAGTCCAGGCAGAACTGAAGAAGGCGGGCACCACCGCCATGCAGGTCAATATGAAGGCGATCCGCGTCAAGCTCAATCACGGGATCTGCAGATTTTGCAAGCTGCAAGCAACATATATGCCGGCTGCTCTTCAAGTTTTGTCCAAACGGGTGGCACCAGAGAAAGAGCTAGCGGAAGATGTCCCTCTGATACTGCCCTCTGCACTCTCGGAGGAGGATCGGAAGGATGCTGGCTGCGTGAAAGGATTGACAGATATCAAGGGGCGCAGTGCCGCACTGCCTTACCGCAGCTCCGCAACCAGCTGCATATCAAGTCGCGGCTTCTGCTCTACAAGAAGAACAACTCCCGCCACCAGGGCATGAATACCCGATCTCGCACGATTGTTAACCGCAATGAGAGCAAAATCAGGCTGCATTCGGAGAAGTTCCAGATAGCGTGGGAGGCCCGGTTGCGGCTGGCAGGGGGCGACGTTCTCAAGGTCGGGTGGCCGCGATTGAAAAAGGAAGATATTTGCTGCATGCAGGACACGGAGCAGCTTTCCCGCAACACTGAGAAGTGGCGGAAGGCGAACGAGAGACTTCTACGGCGAGCTCCCACCGCTACCAGAAGACGAGGAGGAGGAGGCGAACATGGTAACGCAGGGAGGGGAAAACCTCTGTGAGATATCGTGGATTTGGACTATGGCCGGAATGGCGGGGACGGACGAGGAGCTGGAGGACGGTGAGCATTCCTTTCTGTTTTGGCTTTTAAAGAGTTTGTATATTGACGATAACTACGGTACAGCACTGCGTATCGAGTGGGCCAAGGCCTGGGCTCGGAGTCGCAGATGGACAGAGGAGGTGGGGCTGTTGCAGGAGGAATGGAAGCGCTTGCCACCGACATACACGCACCGCGAGAGGGAGTGGATAGCTCGGAAAGGCGGTTCCTACGGGAAGCATTCCTTTCCCGGAGGCGGAGGGAAAGGGTGCCTACACATACAAGCAGGCTGAGATGTACCAGACCTTGGCGGTCTGGGCAGAGGTGACGAGGACGGAGGTGTCAAGCTTCAGAAGGGGAGGAAGCGGAGGGTGGTGCAGCCTGTGTGGGACCCAATCATCCCCGTCGAGGAAAGGGCGGCTGCTGAGAGCGACAACGACAACGACAACAACGATGAGGATGATGATGAGCGGGGGGACATTGACAGCAACAAGGAGCTGCTGATGGGGGGCGAGGTGGAGGAGGATTGAAGCTGAGGGAGCTTTTTTTTCGAGGGCCGTAGCGTGGATTGATCAGTCGGCTAGTCAGCTATTTTTATTCGCTTTTACAGGCATTTAATGACGTCATTTACGATTTTTAATGAATTTACGTTCTTTTTACGGTTTTTTTTTGGCGGTGTGGCCGCTGATGCCGATGTTGGGTGATAATGCCAAGTGATTCTAGGAGTGTCGGAGGGGCGGCGAGGCTCACAGGACGCACCCGCTTGTACCCGGGATCCCGCAAAGGCCCGAAATTACCCTATACAGGCTCCCCGGAAGATTACTAGTAAAGCTGTTAGACTCACCCTAGAAGGTTACTAGTAACCTTGGGCTTATGAGGTGCCGCATTGTAAAGTATTCCAACTCCCACTGAATTTCCTACTTTTCACGTCACCCAGGGGAATATCACCGTCTCACCTCACAAATGCCCTGTGCGTCACAAATTTCCAACCGCATCAACTTAAACACTCCGCATTGCCAAATATTCCAACTCCAACTCAATTTCCTTCAGCACCACCACCTCCGCAATTTTTCACGTCACCCGGTGTGAGTGGGACTGCGGTTTTGATATCGAACGGAATAGGTGGTAAAGGTTCGATAGGGAAAGGTGCTCGTCCAAAGAGGGAGTTAATGAAGTCGCTGTTTGAGACTTTGCACCCTGGGTTATTTAATTTGTATTTTAGAGATGAGAGGGACTCGTGTCCTTCCCAATCGTTCGCTAAACTAAAGGAGGCCCCTTCTTCCGTTCGTTAATTTGCCTTCCTTCGGCCTTGGTGTGTGTCCCTTCCTTACACTCCTGCTGAACAAGGACAGCTATCGCGATGAGGGTCGTTTCAACACAACAAATCCCGTCGGGGGTTCTCGAGTGTTATGTTTCGGTTCTAAGGGTGGTCGCTAGATGCCTGCGTATGCCGTGATTGGAGGGTGGAACGAGTTTTTAACAGTCAGACACATCTGGCCGTTCCCGTTTTCCTCATCTTTCTCCCCCAAAACCCTTTTCTTCTCTTATCCGTCCAATATTTCCGCTGTTCGACCAAGTGCACAGAGATACACACTGTGTGTGCTCTTACAACTGGCTCTGCGACTGCTCTGTTTCTTCTCTGTTCAATATTCTCAATGCAAGGAGGAGGTCGTGGGGAGTTATCGATGATAATGTAGGAGCGGGGTGACTGCTTTATGACTCTCCGTGCAGCTTTAACGGACGGTAATCCCGAGTTTGCTGTGCCAAACTGCTGGTGTCGGTGACGTTTGTTCTTCCCTTCGCCGTGGAGTGCTTTCTGGGATTGGTTTTCTGCCGCTCGCTAGCCTGGGTTAGGCTAGTGGTGAATTTAGATGGGGAAAAGTAGATGTCTGATTCCGTTCTACGTCTTTGTATTTATACTCTTTCAGCTCGCACCGCCTCCCCCTTCCTTTGTCACCTCCATTACTCTTCCTCGTCATTTTTCCTTGTCAATCTGTCCCTTACTGCTCCGTTTCCTGCCTTCCCCGTCCGTTACTGACTCAGTCCACCTTACCCCCTCTCTCCCCCATTCGTTGGATGACTCATATCATCCTACAGCTTCCCTCCGTCCGTTAATTCGCTGTCATACTGGTGACGGCCGCTTCGCCGTTCATTATTTCTTGTTTTACCAGCCTGTGCCTGCCTCCGCCATTCGCTGACACCTCCCCCCTTCCTATCGTTGTTTTCCCTTCATGGCCCGGTGGCGTAAGCGGCAACACGTCATCCCAGAGTACTTTCCTGCACTCTTTGAAGACGAAGTCCCTTGTTCAATCCGAGGCCCGGCCCTAGTGGTTATGTGCGCAGCTCCCCTTTTTCCCGGTCGACATAGCCTGATGTCAATGGCCTGGTAGCATAGTGGGCAACGCGCCGTCGAAGGGTGCTTCTTCCGCACACTCATCTTCGACGGAGTCCCCTGTTCAAATTGTGGTCAGGTCCTAGTTGTAATGTGCACCACTCCTCTTTTTCCAGTCGATACCATTCAATGTTCATGGCCTGGTGGCGTAGTTCGTAACGCGCCGTTTGAACGTACTCTAGCGCGGAGGACACATTTTCGACAGAGCCCCTTGTTCGAATCGAGGCCTGGCCTTGATACCGCTCAGACACTTTTTCCGCATGATCCGCCCGTGGTTCAGTGGCACGGTGGATAGCGCGTCATCATAATCATTGAAGCTGTTCATATGTCTACAATGAAGGCCCCTTGTTCGAGTCAGGGCTGCACCATGGGCGATCTAAACTCTTTTTCTTATCGAATGGAAGTCGCTTGTTTGATTCGAGTTTACACCCCTGATACTGTTCAGCAGCTTTTCCCCTCTTCCCCACTACCCGTCCATGGCCCAGTGGGGTAGTGGTAAAACACGCCGTCGTAGCTTGAAGGCCGTTATTACATCCTTACGACGGAGGTCCTTGTTCGAATCCAGGCTGGGCCATGATTGTTATCCTTCGCGTTTTTGTTCTCTTCGCCGTTCGATGCGTTCGATGATCTACAGCCCCGTCTTTCGAGCGTTTCTGTCTCCCAATCACACTAGTGGTGCATCGGAAAGCACGTCGCATAGAAAACCGGATGATTTTATGTGGAGACCCTTGTTCCACTCGATGCTAGTGCCTGTGGCGTGTTTAGCAGAGATTTTTGGCCTGCGCCGTTCGTTGTTTTTGTTTCGTGCCGCAGGGTTATAGGCTCCGTTTATAACTGGTCCAGTAGCGCAATGGTTAGCGTGCCACTCGCATGTAGCTTCTGCTAACATGTCTGTTGTGGAGGTCCTTGTTCGATTCGAGGCTAGACCGCTGTCTTGCGAGCGAGCTGGTTTTTTATGCCTCTGTTCGATAATATTATGGCCGTCCTTTCTGCCAGTCTGCAAGGGTCCCAAGGGAGCTGGTGGCGCATCTGGTAGCGCGCCGTCGCTGAGTACACAATGCCGCACTCTTTGACGGAGGTCCTCGTTCGATCCGAGGTCAGGTCATGACGTTCCGAGCGACATCTTTTTCCTCTGTTCTTCATTTCGTGGCTCAGTGGTGTAGTGGTACGCCCCGTCATACATTGAAGGCTTTCATCACATGCTTGCAACGGAGATCCTTGTTCGACTCAAGGCTGGACCATTCGCCTTCTCACGCTCTCTTTTTACGCCCTCCGCCGTTTGTTGTGTGAGTTGTCGCGTCCTCCGAGTTTGTCCTTCTTTCTCAATAGGCCTAGTAGCGTAATGGACAATGCACCACTCGCAAATGAAATGGCAAACACAAGCATTTCTGCGGAGTTCCTCGACTCGACGCTGGGCCGTAGCAGGGCGAGTATTGTGTTTTTACGCTGTTCGTTACTGTAGGCCACCTGGCTCAATTGGATAGAGTGTCAGACACTTAATCTGAAGGTTGTGAGTTCGACTCTCGCGGTGGGTTTTTGTCGGATATCAGGGAAGTGAGTTGTCGTTCGAGGTAAGCCGTGCGATGTTTCCTCCGTTCGATATCGGGTTATTCCCCGCATATGGTGCGTTCCTGAGTGATCACAAAGTGAGCTCTCACACCGGGGGAATATCACCGTCTCACCTCACAAATGCCCCGTGCGTCACAAATTTCCCACCGCATCAACTTAAACACTCCGTATGCACAATTTCTCCGAATTCAAACCAACTAATGCATTTTAGGTTCAAACAACACAATGGTTAACGCCGCCCGGGGGGAGGGGGGGTCAATCAATCAATCCATCAAAATTCCATTAGGCTGCGCGCGGGCCTCTGGGGGCCCATATTGCACCGACGGTAATGAGACTAGCTAGAGAGAGCGGGGCAACTACGCGGGGTCTCGAGGGTGTGCTGTAGGTGGATATGGTAGTGTTTTTCCGAGTGTCAAGACTTAGCTAGGTAACAAGTATGATTCGAGGAGTCGGCGAGTGATAAGAGAGAGAGAAAGAGAGTAAAGAAATAAGGGAATAGGGAGGAAAAGGACGGGGGAGGTTCTACAGAGCGTACCGGGGGAAGCGGCCAGTGTCCTGCACGAACACCAGGATGGGTTTGTGTTCAGTTTTTGTGGAGAGGAGGTTGCGGAGAGAAAGGCGGGCGGTGCCAAGCTTCAAGACGAGATTGCGGTGTTCGTGGCGGTATCGCGGGCAGACGAGATGGAAATGGGGGACGGTCTCGGGGACGAGGCAGAGCGGGCAATGTGGGCAGGGAGCGAGGTGGAAGCAGTACAAAAACGTGTTCAGGCCGATGTGGGTGCGGAGCTGTGTCAGCAAGCTACATTGCGGGCGGCTGAGGGGCGGGCGGAGTCGAAGAGGGAAAGGCGGTGATATTGCGAGGAGGCGGACCACTCCTCGAGCCATCGCACCTTGAAGCTCTTCATGTAGTGTGGTTGGCAGAGTTCTGCCAAACTGCCAAATGGCACGGCAGAATGGCAGGCAAAATGGCAAGATCCAGGTAGATCCGGCAGAATACGGCAGACTTTGCACCATCACGGTCATGTGGTTCAATTTTTCCTCATTGTTCGACCTGAGAATTTCCATGCATAGTATTCAAGTTTTGTATGCCACCCAATAACCAATCTCTCTTGCTCCTTCTCCCACTATCACAGCCTAAGGGATCATTTGTCCGCAGCGAACTCGATGATTTCACGGAATTGGACCGCACAGACTGTGTCAATTGTAAAGAAATCAAGGCGCCGGAGGGCAATGTCGTTGGTCCTGTCAGAAATGAGGCTCAGTGGACTTCCTGCACAAGGGTTTCAAAGCAATGAATGTCCACCAGCTCTATTCCGAATAAAAATTCTGCCGCCATTTTGCTCTGCCATTCTGCCTGGCGATTCGGACCGAAATCAATTCTGCTACCCACACTATCTTCATGCCTGCTTCCAGCGTCGCTGCCTTGCTCACTGGCAGTGGGTGTTCAAAAATGGGAGAACACGGGAGGAGAGCGGGGAGGAGGCGCCGAGCGCTGCTTCCTTCGCCTTCACGTCAACCGCTTTGTTGCCCGCAATGCTGATGTGGGCAGGGACCCAATGGAGACGGAGCTTGAGGGACGGACGTGCACGGAGGAGGCGCTGATGGAGGGTGTGGAACAGAGCAAGGAGGTACTGTCCCGGTTGTGGGCGTGGGGCGGCAAGCGCTGAAATAGCCGGCTGGCAGTACATGAAAACATCGACATCGGTGAGGCGGGGAGTGGCCTTGATGATGTTAAGGGCGAGGATGGCACCCACCACCTCGGACTCGAACACTGTGTGTTTGTCCATGCCGCCGAGGTGTTTCATCCGAAAAATCCCCTCTCCCGCTCCGCTCCATGCAACCACCGCTGCTCCGACCCCACCATCGTAGCCCACCCCCTCTGCCCGCTACCCGTGCCTCCTCCAGCTTCGCCGTGTCCTTATCCAGTGCGATGCGCATCGTCAACGTGCCTTGCGGCGCTTGTTCGACCTCGAGCAGGGGGGCGATGAGCTCGATTGCCCCGTTGAGGAGCGGGAAAGCGGCGTGGAGGTGGTGGATCGGGAGCGATGGAAGCGAGGGACTCGTCGGCAGTGGACGAAGCCACTTTGGAGGGGGGGTGTTGCGAGCCGGACGGCAGCGTTGAATACCGATCGGTTGAGACAGATGTGGATGGGGAGCAAGTTGGCATGGAAGTCCAACGTCTTGGTTGCGGTCAGTGTGGGGCGGGCCGAGTCAATGGCCCAAAAGGTTTGGCCGACTTGGCTGCTTTGACCGGGTTTGACCGGTCTTGACCATTTGACCGTGTCTGTAAACCGCTTTTCTTGCACCAAGAAGTGTTTTTGAATCACCCTTGATGGTCCTACAGTGATGCTACCTTGATGCTATGCCATGCCCTATGCGTCCTGGCCTATGGAGTCGTCTTTTCTCAACACATTTTCACAACACATAACTTCAGGACTAACAATTACTTGCCATTGGGACTTTGTGAGAGCTGGTAGGAAGTGTGTGTGGTCCCTTGGCTTCCATAACATCCATTCTGTCACTGGCTTGACTTGGATAACCTCATCTGAATTTTCAGGAAGCCGACTTCAATTTTCTTTTTGGCTGTGGTGTGAAGGAGTTTCTTGCTTGTGTACACTGTCTACTAGGATCCAAACAGTCAATTGATTTGAACAGGTTTGATCCCTTATTATACTGTATATGGTCCAATATACATTGAGAAGGTTCAGGCAGTAGGGTACCCACTATGCATCCCTCAGCAGTCCAGTCTTGAGGCTAGTTGCACGTTCAAATTGTGTTCAAAGGTGATCCGCAACACTGTAAAGAACATCTGGTTCTTACTTGGCTGGAGGCTTAGTTATGCGAATCATTGATGCATATAATGAACATACATCTGTATTCCTACCGTCTGTGCATCGGCACACACTTTTGGATGGGTTCCGAGGGTTTTTAGGATGGCTGTCCAAAAAAGGAAATTGGGTTGACGAAACGGCCAACCGTGGTCAAACGGCCTTGACGCTCGGCCAACCCCGGCCAAACCCGGTCAAGCTCCACACTGGAACTTGCGGTGGTGCGAGGCGCTCCTGTGATCATCTTTGCCACCTGCCTCTGGACTTTGCCTAGCGCGTTCGCGGTCCACACCTTCCCCTTTCTGCGTGCATCCGTATTGGCCGAGACTGGTTTATACCACACAGGGAGCGCGTACTCCATGCGCGGGATAACGACCGTCTGGAAGTGCTGCCGAGTATAGGCATGCGGGAGGCCAAAAGTTGGGGAGGAGATGCGGGACAGGGCAAGAACCGCTTTGGTGCCTCGGCTTTGCGCAATGAATTCGGAAGGTGAGCGTGTGGTCCAACACTACTCCCAGCAACTTGGTTGTTTCTGACGCCTCAACCGTGATTCCGCTGAAGGTGGCGGGGGTGGGGGAGTAGTGGGTAGCATGACGGCGCGGGGGTACGAAGTGGAGGAGTTTGAATTTCAACAAGTCGAATTGGAGCCCAATCCTCGCTGCACGAGGGCACATGTCCGCTTCCAAGTGCTGCACTATATTGTAGACATTGTCCGCGATCATGTAGGACGCCTCCCTGTGGCTCACGTCAATGTAGCAGCCTGTCTTCTTGTCAATCCTCTCATCGATGTAGATGAGGAAGAGGAGCGCGCTGAGAGGGGAGCCTTGGAGGAGGCCATTGGGGACAGGGCATGGGGGGAGGTGTGATCGTTGAACGTGAGGGTCGTGCTGCGGCCGTTCAGGAAGCTGCCGAGTAAGGAAACAATCTCGCTGGAGACGCATCGGAGAAGGTGGAGGAGGTGGCGGTGGCAGACAAAAGGGAAGGCCTGTGAAATGTCCATGAGCAGCAGGCTGTACACCTTGCCGACCCTCCACGCGTCCTTCACCTTCTGCGTGAGCACAAGGAGGGCATCGCCCGTACTCCTGCCCGGGCGTCCGCCATACTGGTTGGGTGACAGAAGGCCATGGGTCTCTGCGAAGCCAGATAGCCAGTCTGTGATGACCGACTCCAGTACCTTTCCCAGTCCCTCCTCCTCAGCAATCGGCCAGTACGCGCCGGGGATCGTATAGTCGCTCTTACCAGGCTTGTAAATGGTGGCAGTTATGAACACCCGCCACGAGCTGGGGAAATAGCCCACTCGCAAGCCCGCCGAGAGGATGTGGATGAGAATGGGGGCAAGGATGCCTCGCTCCGCCCGGATTGTGACATTGGGAATGCCTAACGGTCCGGGAGCCTTCCACAGCAATGTTTTACTAATAGCGCGAAGGACATGCTCGACCGTGAAGGTCGGGCATGCGCTCGGGGCTGGATGGGCGGTCGCGGGCGGAGGGGGAATGTCAGGGGCAGAGGGAAAGAACTTGTTGTAGAGCATCTCCGTTTTCTCCGTTGGTGTGGAAGCGATGGTACCGTCACTTCCAACAAGGTCAGGAGTGCGGGGGGAAGTCGACAAGCAGCCCGTGGGATCAAGGGCATACTTTGCCGCCTTCCAAATGTTTCCGCGGGGAAGTTCCGTGATGAAGTCCCTCCAATGAGCCCGCTTTTCACGACGGTTCGCGCGGTGAGCTCGGTCGTCTTTGACAATGGTGCGATGGGCAGCATTGTATGTGACGCGGAGCACGGAGAGCGTGCGGCTCCACCAGCGATTGGTGTATGGTGAAGGATGGCAGAGGGGGATGTGCGTCTCG